AAAAGATGGAGTTTGCCTTGCGTCTTGTTCCGGATGAGCTGACGAAAATCGACAAGTACGCAAAAGGACTTCCATGGGAGTATGCGGTGCCAGTGCGTCAGCACCTACTCTAGAGGCAGCTATCTGGGCTGCCAAGTCTGGAAGATATGATCAAGGGAAGAGCTGCCAGCAAGATGAGGTTGGCGAAAAGAGAAGTTTGAGGATCTCAAGGCCCAATAAGAAGATCAAGTCTGGTTCAAAGGAGTCTAGCGGAGGAGAAACAAAGTGAAATGGTGCGAAAGTACAAAAAGAATCATTGGGAAATGTAGCGAAGAATGACTTGCTACAATGTGGGAAGACGGACATTACGCCAACGATGCAAAAGGTGTTGTTATGAATGGTGAAGAAGAGGCACTTAAGGATTGCCCAAAAGAAAGAGGCGGAAAAACCAAAATTCCGCCAAAAGAAGGCAAGAGCATTTCATATGATCCTGACGAAGCAGATGACAATGCAAGGATTCAGGAATGACGGCTTGACATCCAAGGATCGAGTTATAATGTAGCCATAGAATCATATGATGTAGCCTGTTAGAGGCATAGTCTAGGGTGAACTTGAACACCTATGTAATCATTTCAAGAAATAATATGAAACCTTTGTTTTGTTATCTGATGTGTTAAGTTGTTTTTTTTCTTGTATGGTGACTTGGAAAAACTGCGGGACAATACTTGGGACGAGTATGAGTAGGTGTGAATGGTAGTAGAGGCCTATACTACCGGAAGCACAGGACTCACACTTGGATCAGGGAAAGTCACAAGGTTACCAAGAAGCCAGTAATTGATTTCGTTTTATTCAAGTATGTCGTTACCATTATTTCGGTAATGACTAAGAAGATTATTGTTATCCCGACCCTAGTGGTCATATCACCTTGAGTCCGACTACGATGAGTAGGTTACGTGGTTCAGAGAACCAAGTTTGATATAGCGTCCGACTTAAACCAAACGATTAAAAATCAAAGCGATCAATAGAAGTATCGCGCTCGTTGGTAGCTAGAAATGCTACATGTTAAAGTATGATTATATCACATTAGAACATGAAGGAAGGCTTAGTCTGTTTTAGAATTTAAGAGACCTGAGTCTAAACGTACATCACATGATGATAGGTCATAATTTGGAGTCTAATATGAGGTAGAGAGCACGTGCACGATCAAGTACTGCTTACAGTCAATAAGTCTAAGAGATAGACTTGAAGGAATAAAGAAGTTATAATTATTACCTAGGATGAAGAGATGACGTATGGAGTCATTATACGATCCTTGTTTCGTTGATGATTCCGGGACGTAATCATCCTAAGGGGGAGATAATTGTAACGCCCGCAGATCCGGGCTAGTCAATTTAGAGGCAATAGGGGTCAAAAATGACTTTTCGACAAAAGATTATTTAGAATGAATAGTCTTAACCAAGTTTTAGAATATGTCACAAGGTTTCCGTACATATAAAGAACGCCGAAATCCGAGTTATAACGAAGAAGTTATGGCCCGCCGAAGTTTTACGGCAAAACCGGCACGGCACCGGAAGACGTAAATAGTGAATTTACGATAGAAGACTTTTTAGCCTTAGCAATCTAAACAAAAGTCGTAGAATATGTTAAACTAAGAGCGTCGATAAAAAGAACGCCCAAATCTGACTTCGTATGAGGAAGTTATGATTTTTCTAAGATTCGGCTTAGCAGTGTACAGCCCGAAACTCGAATTTTAGTTCGAGCGGTTTTTGGCTTACGTGAAATAAATGAGAGTTGAAGATCTCATTAATAGGAACTCAACGGTAAAAAGACAGACGAAAACGGAGTCCGTATGAAGGAGTTACGAATTCTTCGCGGTCATTTAACAGTCTAAACGCCTCGTACTGTTAAATTTAAGATCGGTCGAGAATTAGCCGACGGAGTCAAAATGAAAGTTGTAGATATTATTTTACCTACGCGTGGATATAAAGAACGTCAAAAACGGAGGTCGTATGTGAAAGTTACGGATTTTAGAAGTCGGAAGTGTGTTGTGCGAAAATGGGTGATGTGGCACAATCTTGGCCATTGCTTTCTCCCCAAGTCTTGCCACTAGATGGTGACATGTGGCACCAAGTTCAGCCATTTTCACCCTATAAATACCACCTCTCCCACCCTCATTTTCTTCACACCTTTCCCATTCTTTCTTCTCTTTACTCTCTCTCTAGAACCTCTCTCTAGCCCCGAAATCCCCCGAAAAGCCTAGGGAACCTCCCTAGCACGAGGCGGAAGCCCCGGAGTGCTCGACGGCTCCGAGAAGAAGAGCTTTTCGGCTCGGAAACGCTGCTCCAAGCAAAGCCTGGTTTTCTATAAAACCCGCTGTAAGTGAGCTACGCCTACGCTATTTTTAATATAGTTTTTATTTAATTATATTAACGTTATTAAGAACATATAATAAATACTTGGGCTATTATTATGGGTTATATAAGTTTTTTTAACGCTTATATAATAGTAATAATAGCTAGACTATTAATTAGTCTCGGCGAATAATAGACTAAAATCTATTGGTGATAATACTAGGTTTCGTCGAAGGAAATTATTTTAAAGTAAACGAAGCGCTGTCCGAGTACCGAGTCACCACCTTCTCAGGTGAGTGCATAGTCCCTTTCATGAACATGATTTTAATACAAGTATTGATTGAAGTATTAATTATATGTTTATGTGCGAGTTAATTGATGTTGCTTGAAATTCGTGTTAAAGAACATACCTGATTATATTTGATAATTTAGGATAAAGAGTAGACCTAAATTAAATATGAGGAATATTGGGTAGTATATTCTTACGAGTACAAGTGAGTTAAACTCAGAGAATAGAAGTTAGTATATGTCACTTATCCGGGAGTATGGATTAGACATAGTCATTGTCCCTAGTCCGAGAATATGGATTAGCATAATCATTCGTCGTTAATCCGAGAGTATGGATTAGCTATTGTCCCTAGTCCGAGAGTATGGATTAGGCATAATCATTCATCTTTAATCCGAGAGTATGGATTAGTCATTCGTCCCTAGTCCGAGAGTATGGATTTGGTAAATTCGTTCATTTCTGATCCGAGAGTATGGAGTAGGTAAAACGACTAATCTTAGGTGAGAGTATGGATAGCCTCGTTGCGAGGATCGACGGGGTGGGATAAGAGTTGTTTATATATATGTATGGTGAAATTGTATATTTTGTGAATTTTAAACTATATATATGGTATAACATTGTGGGATTGAAATCCCTATGTGCTCACCAGGTTTCCCAACCTGACCCACTCAGTTTATTTATATCACAGGTGTTGATATGAAGTGACATTACACTGAGAGATTTAAAGAGATGTAGACCACTAGTGTGAATAATTGTAAGTTCTGTTTATGCTTATGTTCCTGTATTAACGATGACATCCCAAACGTTTTAAAATGAAATAAATACGTGTCTTCGAAAATGTTTTAATAACGTATTTACCATGTTTTTCTGGGAACAAATTCCGCAACCTTTTTATAAAATGAAGTACTCTGATTTTTATAAAGCATAAACAAAATCGGTCTTTTCGGGCCGTGATTTTGGGGATGTCACACATGTTCTTAATAAAATACGTCACCGGAATGAAATTAAGATTTTTTGCATATTTTATGTAGTGTTATTTTTTGAACATTTTCTAAAGTTTTAATGTTAAATTTATTTTTTATATAAAAAGACTAAAATGCCCTTTATCCAAAATAAAGACGAAAAATAACTTTTTGTGTTATTTTTAACCCACAATTTACACATATCACATTTAATAACTTTTTTAATCAAATCGGGGCAAAACAGTTTTTAAGAATCTGTAAACAGAGATACAAATTTTCCCAAACAACACATACTCACACAACAAAACATTGTACTTTTCCTTGTAAAGAATGTGAAAAATCATATTTTTATAAAGTACAATGTTGTTTTATGGATATTTTTTAAAGTTTTTTTGTGTCAACATCATTTTTCTATAAAAAAGCCCTATAATTATTGATTTGCAGTAAATTAATTAACTTTTAAGATTTTCTTTTGCAGACCAATATTTCCGAGTCTAAAGTTAATTGTTCTAAACCGGTAATCACATAATTTGCAGAATAAGTCATTTTTAACTCGATAATCACATGATTTGCAATAACTCATTATTAACTCAAAAGACTTTGCTAACTTGATGTAGAAAAGCACATATTAGACTGTGATGATGCAGAGATTTGGAACACTATGATGTGAACTTGATCTTTGAAGAAATAGTGATAGCAGACGAATTGGAATGTAGTCATACATAACTTATAAAAATTATTTTGAAAAGGATATCAAAGTTTAATTTGAAAATATATAGTATTCAAAATATTAGCTATGAATGAAAGGGATTGCCGTGAATTTCAAAGGTAGCATACGATAAGTAAACATTTGTTGTTTTTATTTTGAGTTTTATTTTGTGTGTAAGGATTTTGTAGTGAGGTGAGTATGATTTAATTTTTTTCTTACATGTTGATTATGTCGTAAGTTTTTATTTGTATAAGATGACTAAAAAGATTTTATTTCTGAGTTGATATTGCTTACTTTATGTTTTGTTTGTGAATGATTTACTGTGTGGTAAGAATGGCGTTTTTTTAACGATATTACTTTCTTTTGGAATATTTAATAATACTTTTATACAAAAGGTTCATTACTTTGTGGAGTATGTGTTTACAATCCATAGTGCAAAATGACGGTTACATGTTTGTAATCCTGATAGAGTACAGTTGTTAGAGGGGTAAGTGGTTTACTTTTGTAATCCTGATAGAGTACAGTTGTTAGAGGGGTAAGTGGTTTACATATAACCTACTGGTTTTTATACCGGATGGTACATAAGCAGAAATCTGGGATGACAACATAAGGTGAGGTTGGTGTTTACTCTGCTCTACATCCTCGCTTCGGTTGTTTCTTTAGTTGAGATTCAGCTGTATGGTAATAAAAACTGAGTTATAAATCGACATTTTTTATCCAAGTAAAGTGGATATGTAAGTACCAGCGGTGTCGTATGTCAATGTTCTTGCTGTGTGTGATGTTTGTGATGTTGTAGATGCCATTCCAAGTATAGGATTGATTTCAACATTTGTCGAACCTTGAAGGTCTGCTGGAGTGATTGGTGTTGCTGTCGTTGTAGTTGTTGAAACTTGTGTTGGTGTGACCGGTGCGACTGACTGATTAACCATGGTTACTTCATGTATGTCAACGATTATGAAACGAATGTTTTCAGTTGTAGAGCCTTTTAGCATTTGGATTGACATAGTCTTTGATGTGCCCTCGTGATCATTGATAAGTGTTGGTGGGAGCTTTTTATTGCTTTCATGATCATCAGTCATTAGTTTTTCTGGTGTAGCACCAATTAGTTTTTGAGCCGCGCCATCGGTCATGATTGTAGTTAGAGAGCCCGTTGGGTCCGTCAGAGTTGTAATTAGTTTATACCTGTATGGGGTTATTATGTGTTAATAAAACTTAGCATAAATAACTTTTGCTGGTATTACATTTCTGGGACATAGTGATATTTACAGGAATATGGGTGAGGCTGTTTTTCCGTGAGCACTGCAACTCCAGTAATTGCTTTTCCTGAAAATCGGATCTTTGCAAGTTGTGCATAGTACTTGGAACCAGCAGTCTTTGAATGTGATTGTTGTCAGTGTAGCTTTTACATTGAATGTTTTATCCTGTATTTATAGATTCTTATATCATTGTAGTTTTGGTAATAGTATGTCAGAAGGTTGTTATAGAGGTAGATAACATACCACCAGTTCACTATGAATCTTGCTGTTTAGCTCATGTAGTGTTGTTAGTGGTCCAGATGCTGTGGAAGTTGGGGGTGTAGGGCCAGTGAAGCTACAACCGGATTTGAGTTGTGAATGTATGATATTAATATATAATAATCTACCTTATCTTTGGTAAAGTATAACAGACCTGTGGATTAGAAGTGTTGTCTCCTGGATGGGGGGATTGACATATACGTGTGTGGCAGGTGATGATCCGAACCTTAAAGTACCTGCTATGTGTATTGATGAAGGCTTTATATTTGTAATGGCAACAACTGTTGTCGCAGGAGGGGTTGCCAACTCTTCAGGTCTGAATTTCTCACGAACATCAATACACTCTTTCCATAAACTGATCGCTATTTCATCACCACTGAATTTTATATACATAGTAAACATTAAAAAAAGTAAAAGTAATCATAAGAAAGACTGGGCTTTGTTAAATGTTGTCAACCTTTCGTCTGCAAGAATTAGAAGAACGAATTCTTCTCCATTACGCTTTGGGCAATTTCTCATTTTTTTTAGCACGCCAATGAAATCTATTAGTTCAAATAGAATGTAGTTAAAACTGGAAGTAATATTAATATTACATCTTTTATGTATATACCTGGATAATACGACGGGTTTTCACCTAAGTTGAGGAGATCTGTTTTCGAGGCAAACCGGAACCAGGTTGCAGGGATTGTGACGGTGTCAGGAAGAGGAACAATTATGGAAATCAGGCCAACATCCATATAGATTTCGTTTTCTAGAACTTTCTGATACTCGTCTAAATAGGGACAGGTGTACTCTGATATTGTGTAGCAGTTAGAGATATGGAAAATTGATTCTATGTACCCCTGATTTGTTCTTTGTCCCAGAATCTGTATAGCATCTCCCTAATGTATTGAAATACAGTTAACTGTTAATAACGGTCAGTAATCATAGTGTATTTTTTTAATGAGGTTTGATTTGCTTACGTATTTGTCCACACCGAGATACCATGTTTCATGCCAACGGTACTGTGGTTTCCATTTGTGCAGAATTCGCACCTGTAATGCTCCTCCTTCGCATGCATACTTCAAGTCAGATATGTTAGTCATGTCTCTGTTAATTCAAGCAATAAAGGATGGGTTAGTGATTATATATAATGATATTAATGTAAAGAGGCACAATACAAGTAAAAGTGAATTTTCAGGGAAAGAGTACATAGGTAGATAGTAATGGAATTATCAACCTCATTACAGTTAACTTTGGATAAGAAATCTTTAAAAACGACATTTTTTGTTTGATTATGAGGTGTACATTCGTCATTGTTTATCAGGATTTTCAGGGATGTAGGTGATGTTGCTCTTGATAATGCAACATAAAGTTGACCATGTGTAAATACGGGCTGTGGCAAATAGATGCCAATCCTTTTTAGTGACTGCCCTTGGCTTTTGTTTATTGTCATGGCATAACAAATTTTAATTGGGAATTGTTTACGTTCAAAGGAAAACGGTAGATTAGCAGGTTTGTGAATGAATTTAATGCGAGGTATGTATACACGCTTCCTAGTGCACATTCCTGTTATAATTGTTGCTTCAATTATGGTTGGAAGTAGTTGTGAAACAATTAACCGTGTGCCATTACACAAACCTTCCCTCTGGTTAATGTTTCTCAGCAACATAATAGGAGCTTTTATTTTCAGCTTGAGAGTGTGAGGTGGGATTCCAGCAAAGGTTAGCTGATTTAGATATTCAATGGGATATAAACCCTCTAACTCTGATGTATATTTGCCATTAGGTTGCATAGCGTCTGTACTTTTATAAACCCTTTCATCGGTCTTTACCATTTCCAGAATTATTGCGTTTAACTTGTCAGCAGTGTCATTTGTGGGACAAACAATAGCCCTTACAGATAGATCGGATGGTGAGGGATTGTCCAGCAGTCTATTTCCATAGACAAAGAGGATTAGGTTTTTCAAAGACTCACTATTTATTGGTATTAAAAGCGAAGGTGGTATTTCTACCCAGGTTGTAGTATGTGGATTGTCTGCATCTGGCACACCTAAAGTTCCATTCCCAATGCTAAGCAGCCAGTCAGCGAAAGCAGCTATGGATAGACCCTCACTTACATCAGTGGTAGTCTGTGTTAAGCGCATGTTGTGATGCAGTGTACAGACCTCAAAATATGACCACAGGTATGAATTTGGAAGGGTTAATGCAATAATCTCAGTTCGGGAACTTTTTGGGGAAACTGGAAGTGTTTGACGGAAGTCACCACCAAGTAAAACTGAAATGCCACCGAAAGGTCGTTTTTCACACTCCAACACATCTCTAAGAGATCGATCGAGGTACTCAAAACATCGGCGGTCGCTCATCGGTGCCTCGTCCCATATAATGAGGGATGTCCGTTTGAGCAAATCTCCAAGTAATGTCCTTTTCTTGATGTCACATGATTTTTTTTCAGCCAAATTGATTGGGATGTTAAACCGTGAGTGAGCAGTTCTTCCAGAAGGCAAAAGTAGAGATGCAATTCCCGAAGCAGCCACTGCAAGAACGATTTTCCCAATAGACCTGAAGTATGCAAGTAATGTAGTCCATAAAAATGTCTTTCCAGTCCCGCCATGTCCGTACACAAACAGCAACACCTGTTTTTTGTTTTCTTCGGATATGACAACGGTCTTATAAATACGCATCTGATCTTCATTTAATTGTAGAAACATTTGTGAGTGTTGGTGTTGCAAGGACTCCTTATCATAACTTGACTCTTCTAGCAAGAGACGATTTTGCAGGACTACAATAGTATCCAGATTTGGCACGGGTAAATGGAAGTCAGCTAACGATCTAGAAGGTGTAGAAGATCGGAGTGCATTTTCTAGTTCAAAAAGCAGTTGTTGCTGCACTATATCATCATTCATATGAAATCGTTTATCTGGGAACTCAGTTTTTAGTTTAAGCAAGTAATCATCTATCATCTTCCGCCATGCAACATCCCAAAGTGATTGTGGATTACTTACATCACAAAAAAGCAGTAGATGACAGAAGAGGGAACGTAAATGTGAAGAAGTAGCCCATGATGAAGCTTCAATGAAGGCCGTCAACCATTCCATGTCCTCACCTATTAACCCTAGTGCGTTACATGCACTTCGAAAAGTTGGATGAAGATGACCATGCACCGTACGAACATCTTCATAAGATGTGCATCCTTTTTGATGACAGAGTAACATCCGAAGATAGAATAACTCTCCCGAAGATGGATGGACAAACACAAGCCTACCTATACTTTTTGAAGATTCTAAAACTCTTTGTCCCCATTCCTTTGATCTAGCATCCCACACGTATCTATTTGGGTAGTCTATATACGTAAGATCTCGACCTTGTGGATCTCTTGCATTGCTGTCGAACCATCCAAGTAGTAGTGTTCTTGCAAAACCAGGATTGCGAAGGACATCTTCTATTCTACCAGCCTCTTTGAACATAACATGTTGCATATTTAGTAAGTGGACAGGCAATATCATGACAGGGGGATTCCGTCGATGGATGTCGAAATTAAAGATTCTCCATGCGGCCTCATGAGGACATATATAACGTGCATCTAGAAAGTTTTGGACTTCGTTCAAAACTCGAACCTGTGAATTTGGATCACCAGAGTCAGCCGCCTCACTCTTTTGAACAACAAATCTAACACGTTCAACCCCTTTTGAAATATATTTGAATAGATATTTGACCATCATATTCCAGCCACAATATTCGACGTTTATATGCGCATCAAACCGACTACACAACCGATTGTTATATGGGACAACATATCCGTTATCGATAACAATACCATTTTGCATTGTATGACGTCTCACTGCATCCCTTTTGTAGTGTGCGTAACCTTCGTCATCAAAAGTTGTAGCGTCACGAAACGGTTTCGGAAAACGCTTGCTACATTTCCCATCCTTCATACAAGGAGCTTTATTATTTAATGGACCACACGGATCATGGATCATACACGTTGTCACTGTCCGATGCAACAATGCTTCTGAAACAGGATCTGGAAGTTCAGCACTTATAAAGCTGTCAATATCAGCAGGTTCTTGGATAGAATCTGATTTCGACACCTACAGAAGTGTGTGACAATGCGGTAATCCTCGCTTTTGGAACTCAATAGTGTACAAATCTGGAGAATAGAAAGATGAGAGAAAACTTTAGAAACCGTAAACAGAAGATATAAGTAGTAGGAAACAAAAACTAACGATACTTACGTGCTTGAACTTCGCCAAAAGTTTTATCTTCTTTTAGAAAGTTAATAAAGGCAGCCACTTTCATCTCGAAAACCCTAGTTATGATGTCAGGTCTATTGTGAGCATCACGCTGACCATAACTTTCCATGTGTCGTCTTGGCCACTTGACATTGCATGTAAATGTAATAAAGTATTGTGGATTCCCATACACTCTACAAATCGATAAGGCGTCTTGATAATGACTGTACATATATCGGGGACCACCAACAAATGATGCAGGTAAGAAAACACGTTTACCCACGAAACGGTTCTCTCTATCCCCTTTAGAGAGGGCATCATAAAGACCGGACAAAAATTCGGATCGTAAATGGTCCTGATTGTTTAAAACATAATCTAACCGACCAACTTCAATACAAGTATAAGCGTCGACAAGGTACTGTTGGAAAAGCCGACCGGAATTGAGTATAAGAGAATACATACCTCGACGTGCATGGATTTGATAACTATAATACATGTTTACCGTGAGGTTCCTAACACTGTTCCCCGTCTCATTACGTAATTTCAAACGTGGAGACCAACCCTCCTCACCAAATGGGAAAAGCAAAGGATATTGTAGTGGCATATAACTTGGGTGAAGTTTACTTACTCATTGAGGAATACCAGATTTCGGGTGAACAATGATGTCATACTTGCTACAATTACTGTCATCGCCAGTAACAATACAACCTAAACTACCAGCAGCTGGGCAACCATACCTACGATCAGGGACGTCACTGAACAAACGAACTGCATAGGAATCTAATTTCATAGCTTCAGCCATTTCTTTAGCTGTTTTGAATGTCCTAACATATTCATTATGAACTAAAAGGGATTCCATTAGAATTTTTACAACAGCACCATCTAAATCTTTTTTAGTAGAGGTGTGAAAGGCTTTCAACCGATTAGAAACCTCATTAGCAGTATCGACAACATACAACTGCAAGAACCTTGGACCTTTAGACTCATCAGGACACAAAGACCCTATCCAATGACAAACCTGACCAGAAACCTTAAAAACATATGGACCATGACCGTTGTTAATATCCTCATCAACAATAGACCCAAAAGACGTCATGGAAAACATACTATTATAACCTCTAATGTCATTCAAAAAATTAGCATCTGTATAAAGGTTATAAAGTTCAGGAGGAGGCATTCGTGGAAGAGGTAACACAACAGAAGCTCCTTTACAACAGTGATTATACTTAGGACGATTAGTTTGACGACGATTTCCAAGCCTTTCAATATACCAAAACAAAGCTCCACAAAATTCACAAACACATATACAATCCCCACAGTCATAATACGTAGGAAGCGCAACAGAAGTAAAAAATCGAGATCGTCGACTCCTGCGCAAAAGAGGAGCAACAGAAGCAAAAGAGGGAGACCCACAGTCACTAAGCTTACGTTTTCGACAGTTATTCATAATCAGAAATCAAGGAAATTAAAGGCTGAAAAAATTTACCATAAGCAAGAAGAAAACAAAAATTAAAGACGCAGTCACAAAAGCCCTAATCGACAGATGATGAAGAAGCAGCAGAAGAAAAATACCTAGAGCAGATAGATAACCGGAGAAGAAAGAAAGCGGAGGCAAGAAAACCAAGGAGCATCCGGTAGACGACACGAAAAAACCACGTAGGCAAGAAAATTAAATCAAATCCACAAAATAATAACACGTGCGACGGAATTATATATTATATAGATATATATAAAAGGATATGGAGATAACAGAAGAAAAGTATACCCAAAACAAAAAAGTATCCAGAAAATACCAAAAAATCGAAAACTTACAATTGTGAAGGTCATGTGGTAGAATTCGGAAAAACAAAAATTGTGGGAGGAAACATAGAGAAAAGGCAGCGACGTGCGGCCAAAATCGGAAAAGCAAAAAGTGACTGTACATAAGCGTCCGCTCAATTTATTATATATATAATTTGTCAAAATTTACATGTAAGTAATATTTGTAGTTGATTTTATTTTGATATATGATATTTATAAATTAAATATCTCTTATCGAGAAGCTTATTATTTGAAAGTAAATATGTAACGTGCACTATGAACGAAAAAAAAAAAACATCATGTTTTATTATGAGCAAAAAAGATCAGTCAGTAACAAAATTAATATAAGTTATAGATTATTATGAAGCCTGTAACAATATTTTGTGTATTTAACATGTAACAAAATTAATATATATATATATATATATATATATATATATATATATATATATATATATATATATATATATATATATATATATATATATTAGTTGCAATGAGTTTTTATTTAAGTTTTAATTTAGAAAAAAAAACATCTATTTGCAGTTATATATAAACAAAAATGTACCCCCATATATTATAAGTTGAATAATAATAATAATAATAATAATAATAATAATAATAATAATAATATACACGAGGATAAATCATAAAAAATATTTTAATTGGCAGAAAATAAAATAATAATAATAATGCTTAACACATGGCCAACTACTACTTCACATGGGAGACTGTAGGTTTTCATAACTGAATTTTGAATATCAAGTTACATGAGAAATATAAAAATAATTTTCAAATTCATTTTGTTCGTTAATTTGATGAAATCTATATAGCAAAATATAATCACTTATATCTTCGTTCCTAGAGATAAATAAAAGGTTTGAGAACTTCATACAAAGTTAAGATTTTTTAGTCTTTTGAAGATGTTTATAATTTTTGTTAGGACAGTATCACCCTCTAAATTTCTAAAAGAACAGAAGAGATAAAAGCTTTTTGTATATTTTCTTAACAAAATAACATACATAGCAAGGGCAATAAAAAAACCTACACTACCATAACAAACTCTTTTAAATATGTGTAAGATAGACATAAAAGATAATATGAAATCCAATACTCCATTCAAGATGACGCTTGCAAATTTGTGATGCCTATCTTGCCAAGTAAGAAATGGAGTTGTGTTCCAAGCTCTTTAGTCGATAAGTCTGAAACTTGCATCTCGCTGTCAATATTAAGGGGAATAATCTCTTTACACTCAACTCGTTTCCGAACAAAGAAACAATTCATCACAACATGTTTGGTTCGCTCGTGGAAGACAGGATTATTAGCAATGTGATTGTCTCATTATCACAAAATATAGATGTAGGTGATGAAATTGGAATTTGCAATTCTTGGCGTAACCAACGAAGCCAAACAATTTCACTAACTGTGGAGGTCATTGCTCAGTATTCGACTTCAGCGGAAGAACGAGAGACTACTGATTGTTTCTTGGTCTTCCAATAAATAGGGGATCCTCCTAGTAGAACAAAATACCCAGTTCGTGACCGTCTCATATAAGGGCACCCTAGCCAGTCGGAGTCACAAAAAGGTAGTCAAGATTGGAGCTTCTTCACGGGAAAGAATAATTAATTTGGCCCGGTGTGGCCTTTAAGTACCGAAGGACACGATAAGCTGCCTCCATGTGGTTGTATTGTGGGTCTGCCATCAACTAACTTAACACGTTTACCGAATATGCTATATTCGGCCTAGTGTCTTGAAGATAAAGAAGTCGAACAATCAATTGACTATATTGATTCGCATCAACACACGCTTCATTCTCTCCTTTTGTTTAACTTCAAAACTTATTCAATGGGAAACGAACTTGGTTTGCAACCAAACATTCCACTATCCAGTAAAATTTATATTTGTGCTAACTTAGAACTAAACCATCATTTATCTTGGCTACCTTAATCCAAAGGAAAACTTCAAAGAACCAAGATCTTTTATGAGTTCATGAGTTTGCACGGACAAGGTTTGGAAAATCAAACCTTGAATTAATCTAACGTCAATGATTGCTTATAATAAGAGTTTCTGTTAAGTCTGTCCATCCTTGAAGTAAGAAACTCAACAATGTGCTCAAGATAAAATAAAATAAAGTATGAACAATGTAAAGTAAATAAGAACAAGAAGAATGTTACAGAGAAATGAGTGTGATAAGTTGTTTAGAAAATTGTTTTAGTCAATTGATTAAGAAAACAAAGTAAGAACACATTGATCTAAATTAGATCTGGTTTCAACATGTTTGTTCTGGAAGGATACAAAGAATTTGAATACAATGAAATGCTAATGTGAATGTTGCTTCTGGTCTTCTACCCTCTGAGTACCTATCTTATTTATAGGGTACTCATGGAAACAAAAAAAAAAATACTAGGACTAAACTTTACGGTACGAACAACACATATGCCTAGTAAATACATTAAGATAGCAAAGTCATGTGGGCCTTCGTTATTTACAGACATTTCGCCTAAAGATAGCTACCAATTCAACTTCTCACAACAAATAAAGACCTAACATTTTCCTATTTTGTGAGTAAAGACGAATCATCAAACTTTAGGTAGTATCTTTACAATCTGTAGCAAAACTTATCGTATCTTCATATACCAATGAATAATCTTCCTAGTCTTCACTATGTCTTCATTCTCATTTCTTTTACGATTGTTGATGCGATATAGGATACTGGTAAAATGCAAATTCAAGTATCTTTCAACATCATCCACTCAAAATAAAAACTTTTCCTTATTCTCCTTCCATTTCCCAATGGACACGACTCCCAGAGGATCATAAACAATCTCTCTGTCTTCATAATCCTTTATGCTTATTTTTCCTTTTAACAATGCTTTAGGAACTTTTGATCTTCTACCGAAGTGAGTATAGATATCGATATCAGTTAGAGACAGATGAGCAAAATAAGCATCTAGAAAAGTCTTGAGATCCCCATATCCAAGAATATAGGTAAATGTTTTCTAGAATATCAGTCTTTTTAAGATCACCCATCAATAATGCTTTCGAAACGAGATTATTCACGTTAAAGAGTGGAAAATTTGCAATTGTAAATTCAAAAGGCATATTGTTTGCACAAACAACCTTGTATCGAAAATTCTGCAACAATCCTTCAAGTTATATTACTCATGCAAGTCTCTTTTAAAATGCAAATTATCTATCTTATCGGTTTACTATTTAGTGTGTATGTTTTATATTTTAATAGTAATATTAAGTGTTTCTTAAAAGTCTTCTTTAACTTATTAATAATAATAAGTGGTTTAAAACTAAAGAACAATAATTTTAAATGATACTAACATCGATTTATAAATTACATAACGCTAGCAACAAATAAATTGTATTTTAAATGAACATCCTTATTGAAATTAGAAAATAATCGTATAAATAAAAAAAATTAATCAATCATAACAATTGTTAAAAATAATATTAAATAGATAATTATATTTAATTTTATTAATGAGGAATGTGGGTTGATGTCAATGAATAATATTGTTTAAAATATTATGTTAAAGTTAATATTAACAACATAACTATTTTAAACATATATTTTTCATCATTTTAATAATATATTTTTAACCTACGTTGAGCAACACACGGGAATTAGTCTAATTCTATATAGGAATTGCAAATGATTTACACCTTACATGATTTTTTTTATAGTTTTCATTCTTATTAATTGCCATAGAGTTCTTTCGTAGCAATGTGTGGGAGGATAATGCCCCTTTATAGGGTTATATTCATTTCATCCCCTAAATTTTATTTGCTTTTATATTATTTACCCTTAAATTAATTTTGAACTAATATTTTTCATCCATCATAATTTTGAAATTTTAAAGTTATATTATTAGTATCTTATATAAGTTGCCATTTATGGGAAAGATTTCAATAATTTATTCAAATTCAGCTAACTTATTATTATTTATCTAACTACAACACTCAAAGGTACAGAAACATATATGGCCCAAATACAAAAAAGTTTCCCTTTTTCATCTAGAGTAAAGCTTCGTCCACTATTATTTCTTCAACCTCAACCTACAACATTTTTAATTGCATTGTTATTAACATATCACATAAACACACACTAACAGGTTAAGGTGGGTTGCAAAAGCGTCAACAAATGGAATCTACTTAAGAAAAAAAAAAACATAATTTAAGAACTTTTAGTGAAAAATAGAGATAAGATGGTGTCAAAACAAGATGAACACATGAAGTTTATAAGAGTCAAGTTAAAAGAAATTAAAAAGAGGAATGGAGAAGCTTTACCAGATAATTATTGTAAGACCGAGATGAAACAACCTAGTACATGAGATACTTTGTTGTCACTTCGGTGCAGTAGAAACAGAAATGCAATGTAGAATTTTCGCTTAAAATATTGTAAAGTCTTTTATGTCAAAGAAATTATAGACAAAGGCAAATTTACCTTGTTATGCTTCGATTCAGCTAGAATGATGATGTTTAGAGAGATGACATATGAGTAAAATATTTGATTTAATCAAACCCAATAAGACTTGCAAAAAGTAAAGAATGAATAATTCGATAAGTTACTTAAAATATGAGTAAATTAAGGTATGTTTCACCATGTAGAACCATGTCAACATGTAAAGGCCCGAA